AAGATTAAAATTTATATTCGAATTTTACTTCAGCAGATTCTGATTATTTTTTCTTATTTTTGCTGCACCTATATCAGGTTTTTAGCAAATTTCAAAACTAAACTGTTTATTTAAATTGCCGTATTCGAATTGTAGCTCTAAACAAATTTCAAAGACTACTCAAATACCTTTATCATGTTTATTTCAAATCTAAGATTGAATTGTCTACTTGAATCGTCGTTTTTAGTAGATTTTAAAAACTACTCAAGTGGCTTTCATTCTTGTTGTACCTATGCTATATTGTTTGAATAAATTCTTAGATTAAATTACTCATTCAAACTACTATTTTCAGCAGATTTAAATTGTCTTTTTTTCATATTTTGTTGTGCCTATATCAGTTTTATATCAGTAATAACATTTAAAATAATTAAAAGCATTAAAATTAAATCTCAGATACTAAAGCAAATCATATGAGTGCGGGAGAGGGAAAAGGGCGCATTCATTTTTTTTAGTAAGTTATTGATTATTTCTCCGATTCAGTCCTTCTGATTTACAGCAGTTCGGGCATTAAATATATCCGATATCGATAATATCGATAGTGGATAGATTTAATGCCCGAAATGCTGTAAATCAGAAGGACTGAATCGGAGAAATAATCAATAACTTACTAAAAAAAACGAATGCGCCCTTTTCCCTCTCCCGCACTCATATGAATATAGTCAAAGAAAAATCTGTTATCAGGCTTTCAATCATATTTTTTACCGGACATCAATCTATTTGATTTATTAATGATTGTGTCTGATACAAAATATGAGTAAAAGCCTGCTAGCAGGTTTTCTTTTAATAGCACCCATATAAAAAAGAACAAAGAAAAATTAGGAGAACGTACTATTTACAAAGTCATAAAGCCACAAAGCCTTTAATTTAGTACCGGAAATGATGACTCTGGTAATAACTTTAGAATATATATGCGTTAGTATTAAAAAAAATAGTAGTACAGTAAAAAAAACTCAAATTTATATACATATACATTATACAATCAATGAATAGTAATAAATCGTATAGCTAACAAATATATAGATAATAATATACTAATTTTTAATTGAATGACTTTACGTGAATAAGTTGTAGGAACATTATGAATTCGATAATACATTTGCCTATTTTCATATACCATGATATCATACACTACGGGTTTATGGATTTTACCTCCACCCATTGTTGTTCCAGAAAAAAAAAGTCGTATCTAAATAAAATAAGTTATTAGTAAATATGTAAATAAATTATATTAAAATTATTTTAAATAAAGCAATAGTATTTTACATGTTCATGATTTTTTTTTTCTAAACTTGAAGTTGAAAATAAACGTAATGAC